AAGCTCCGTTGGAGGTGGGGTTCAGTGGGCAGTATGCACAACCCTTCCCAAGGACTCTGACTGGGGACCTGTCCGAAGACATAGCACAGATGGCAGCATTATTTGTAGACTTATAAAAGTCATTAGTAGTCTTATAAAATAAAAAAAAGAATGCGAAAGCTATGCTTACCCCCATTTTTTTGCCATGAGAATATTTGAACAGCTGGCTGTTTGACATTTAAATGTACACCATAGGCTACTTTTTAAGCTTTATTCTCCTCCACCCATTTCTCAGTCTCAACTACACAGTTTTTCCCAACTTCTTCATTCCACCAAAGACTTTAAATAGGCCCCCAAAGGAAAACATAAATTCTAAGTTACTAATATGGTCCCTGTTTGTAGCCACCATGGTTACATTTCTAGGCTGACACATTCCCACCCCATCAGTCCTGTGGTACCACAAATAAATTGTTGAAACTTCTTTTCTATGTGTCTGATTGGGGTTTGGGGACAGTTTGTGGCAGAGACAATGGGATAGTTGGTGGCCAAACAGGTTTTCTCCCTCATATAAAAAGTGACACAAAGCATTGGTTTCATTATCTTTCTAGCTAACAGAAATATGAATAGTCATTGAGTAAGAACAGCTGTTGCCATAGACTTCCTCTGCATTTTGCCTAGTTCTTTAGGAGGAATAGGTCTTTCCAAAAATCAGGGGTTATCACACACAAGAGAACAAGAAGAAAATAGGATCCAAAAACTCTACCTCTCACTCACTTTCTGACCATGAGCAAGTTAGACTCTCAGAATCTCAGCTTCTGCTTCTGTAAAGTGAAGATGATAATAACACTTTGAAAGAAGTATTGTGAGGATTAAAGGAAATAACGTATGTAAAGCACTGGGGTACAGTGCCTGGCACCAAGAAGAGCCCAGCTGGTTTTATCAGCACCTCCACTACTGGCAGGTCTGAGAGCATCACAGAAAATCTGACATAGACCCTGAACCTGGGGTGAATTCTACTTCTTGCCATCCCAGAATTCCTCCTGTGGATTGGGAAGATTCAAATATACGGAAGATCTGTGTGGAGAAAGCAGAAATGCAAGTGCCAGCTAAGACGGATCCTGAGCTGATTCTTTCCCGAGAACCCCAGAAAGACTCAGGAATTGATGATTCCTCAGATGATGGAGGTGGGGTGGAGGGAAGAGGGCAGCATGGAACCAAAAACAGAGGAATTGGTTGAGCATGTGTATAAAAGAAGCAGTTACATCTCCCCACACTCAGGTCTCCATCCCCACCCTACCCATCAAAGCAACAATCCCTCAACAACTTGCAGGAGAGATGACGTTTGCTCTCTGGAGAAATTCAACCAGCTTCATGGATGCCACAATGAAGGGAGGGGAAAAAGCAACAGGTTATATTTTAATATAAATCTAAAAACCAAAGAGTGATATAACCCAGCTTCTTCCTTTTCCAGAACACAAGCAGCTAGGCTTATATCCCCCCAGGCAGGAAAACCAGAGAATCCTCCTTTGAAAAACTGAAAGGCACCAGGGCAAAGATCTTGAATACTGGCATCTTGGAATTGCCCCCCAAAATAGTGAGCTCAATATTCAATGATCCCACAGCAAAGCCCTCACTCCATCTCATACCAGCCCCCATTTGGCTTTTTAGTGCTTTTCTCTTAAATATAATAAATATCTAAAGACCACTAGATATTTAAGTATCTAAAATGAAAGAGACTAAAACAAAGAGAAAAAAAAAACACAGAAGAAACAGTACAAAGAACAGAAGAAATGTCTTTTAGAAATATAAGCCTCTGGGAGGCCGAGGCGGGCGGATTGTTTGAGCTCAGGAGTTCGAAACCAGCCTGAGCAAGAGCGAGACCCCATTTCTACTAAAAATAGAAAGAAATTAATTGGACAACTAAAAATATATAGAAAAAATTAGCCGGGCATGGTGGCGCATGCCTGTAGTCCCAGCTACTAGGGAGGCTGAAACAGGAGGATCGCTTAAGCCCAGGAGTGTGAGGTTGCTGTGAGCTAGGATGACGCCACGGCACTCTAGCCCAGGCAACACAGTGAGACTCTGTCTCAAAAAATAAATAAATAAATAAATAAATAAAAATAAGAAAAATACAAATTAAAACTAAATTTAGATATTCTTTCTCATCTATCGGATTGGTAAAAATTCAATAGTTTTAGGATGTGTTTATCTTTGAGGGAAAAAAATGAAAAAAATTCAATGGTTTGATGACACCCTCTTTCTTTTGGTAAGGCCATGGGGAATGAAAAATGATTCAACCCCAATCAAGAAGAAACTAGCAATAACCACTAAGACAGCAAGTACATTTGACTCAGCAAACTCTCTTCTAGAAATGCATCCCTGTATACTCCTGCACATGTATGAAATAACATATGTATAAAGGTTATTCATTACAACATTGTTTGTGATAACGAAAGATTAGAAATGATCCGAATGTCTGTTGACAGGAGACTGGTTAAATAAACTATGGTCAATCGCTTAGTGGAAAGTATTTATTTTCTCAATGAATAAAGACAAAAAATCTGCATAGTTTTACAACCAGCTTCCATGCCCTCCAAAATACAAAGAGCTATGTGTAAAGCCTCCCAGACAGAGCAGACTCTCTGATCTTCCTAAGTCTGAGCGTAAGAGGAACTTGGCGCCCAGTGTCTTTCAAAACCGTAGACACAAAGCAAGCAAGGCGGTGAGGCAATGCCAGATTTAATGTCAGTCCTAGGTCCAAACCCCAGCTTGGTTACTTTTTTATTAACCATGACACTCTGTACTGTGCTTCCTCATCTGCTAGATGGGGACGAAATTCCCCAGCTTGCAGGGGTGGGGAACCTGCAGCCTTAAGGCCACATGTGAACTTCTCGGTCCTTAAATGCAGCCTTTTGACTGAATCCAAATTTTGCAGAACAAATCCTTTTATTAAAAGGGATGCAGCAGAGAAAGATGAAGCTTTTCTTGCCTCCTTTCGTACTTAAAAAAGAACAATCTTAAAATCAGAAGGCCGCAGGTTCCCCACCCATATACAGATGGCATGAGGTCTGGCCCACAATAAATACACCACAAACAGGAGTCACTATTAATAGCAGCACCGGAAAAAAGAATCCTGTCTCCAGGACTGTATTCATTGTAGAAGGAAAGTCATGTTGGAAATCCCAAGATAAGAATCAAAAGTCACTGCTCTGAAGAAAAGAATTGAAGGAATTTCCCCTCATAATCAAGGCAGTTTTGGAAGAGAGTCTACAGACACAGACAGACACATCCACCCTTGCGTGCCTCCAGCTTCTTACTGCTGCCACCTCCTCTGCGGACTGGCAGAGACTTTCCCTCAGTATCCTAGATCCCAGCAGGGCTGGAAGGACCAGAGCCCAAACCCCTTCTGTTAGGATTAGAAACCCGAGGACCAGAGATTCCCAGAGATGGACTCGAGAGCACACAGCCAGTGGTCCAGGTCCACGGTCAGGCCGACCCACTAACAAAATTGCTGACTTTCATTCACTCCCGAAAGGGGCTGTGATCAGTGTAAAAGCATATAATCAATATTGGCAGAGTAAGTAATGTGTTTTCCTATGTCAACCCATTTTGAAGGCTGCCTACTTCACCTCATATACACTTCCTACGGAATGAAGCCCCAAACTTAACGGGAGCTTGTATTGCAGTAACAAGGATTTCTAGAATGTATCCAATCCCTGCTCCAGCAATAACCAGGTATGTAATGCTGGGTTTGCATTTCCTCATCTGTAAAAGGGGATATCAGCCCCCTTCATCACGCTGTTTAAAAAGTAAAATCAGATAACTACGCCTGTCTGGCACATAGCAGGTACTACTTCCCTCAGACCCAGATATCCCCTTGCCTTGCCAACATAAGTTACTTAATCAGTCCCACAACAACCCAGCCACCCTGCTCTTTGAATTCCAAAACAAGATTTTCCCCTAATCAACCTCAAAAAAAAATGCAAAAATAAAACATCTTCCGTGGTACTTTCATAGGTTGATAGTTTTTAATTTCCTCAGCAAGAACCGAGAGTTAAGAAGAATTACAAGGATATTTCTTTTCAAATTCCCAAAATACCTTCTTCATTCACATTGCCCTGGCAGACTGGTTTCCGCCATGTCCACGCTGGTACGGAGAACACTGGATCCAGCCATGTTCACCGGGTTCCTGATTCGTCCACATTCCTGCCCTAGGGATTCGCTCATGGTAAACACTCAATACATGGTTCTTAGCTGAACCACACAGAATCAGGTGAAAAATTTCAACAAAAATATATTGAGCACCTCTATATGCTAGACACCATGTGCGACCTTTTTCACTCTCATGTTTAATTATCACGACAATCCTGAGAGGTAATCATTGTCCCCATCTTACAGATGACCAAACAGAAATTAAGAGCACTAAATGCCTGGCCCAAAGTCCCATTGTCCAGAAGGAGCAATGTGGGATGGAACACAGGTCTCTTGACTCCAGGTCTTCGCACTGTGAGACTACGAGTTTGTTGTAACTAGGGCCTCTTGCACCTAACACACCTTTGCAACTGCACTCCCTTCCACCCACCCCCTGCACACATACAGACGCACCTAATTTTCAGCAAGTCATTTGGCAATTCCAAAAGAGGGGCCATATCCTTTTTCTCTACCTCTGTTGCTGAACAAAGACAACATCGTATTTCCAACACATTAGTCAGACCAACGGGGAAAAATCCCCATGACTTCAGTAAGTTTCCATCCTTTGGAACAAGGACATACACACAGAAGGTTTACCGTAATATATAAACAGTGCTTTTAAATGATGCCAATCTCTCTTTTAATGTGGCCTAAATCCTAAAATCTAAGGTTCCATAGCTTCCTTTCTTATATTTTAAATAAACACAGAAACCTTAATAGATATGTAAACCATAACTATAACAGCCAATTAGTTAGATTGGGATCTCACATCAACACAGATTTTCCTTGCAACTTGCACCCAATTTGAGTCTGGTCCCAGGCGTGCTGACCTGAAATAGTTGCTGGCCGCGGCAAGCACCACGCGGTGGCAGGCGAATTCCTGAATGTCCACACACAAGATGACATCTGTCAGAGCATTTTCCCCTCGGAGGGTCTCCAAGCCATTTTGAAGAAATAAGGAGAGTCCCGTGTCGTCAAATTTTACTTTATCCCCATTTAAGATTTCCACCAAGTCTCCCCTTTTCTGGGAGGGCTCATCTGCAGAAGGTGCCAGGGGCCCCTCCAAACTCTTCTCTACCACGTCGCCCATGGTCCAGGCACCCCTCTGCCCTGCCATCCACATCCAGACTGAAGGAGCGCCCAAGTTTCAGGCAGGCCACATTGCAGAAGCTGAGCGGATTTCCTGTGCAGGGCCCTCCACTTATCACCAGCTGTCACACACACATAACAGGAAGTCTCGCACTTTCTCATCCTGTTACTACAAATGCTCGCAACTTGTATTCTTCTTCTTTCTGCGAATAATCACAGGGTTAGAAATTACTTAGAATAGGTGTGTGGGAGGGGACTCTGGGAGAGAAGGCGTGGCTTCTCAGTCTACTATGAGTGCTGGGTGGTTATTTTGGTCCATCTCCCACCTCATATCCGTGAGCAGGAAGACTCTGCTTCTGGCTATTACATTTGTACTCTGGGTCCTTCAGTAATCCAAGTTGTTGACAATGGGATGGGCAGGAGACATTCTACAATCCTCCCACTTCCTCTTCCCAGGAGTCTGAGACCCCATGATGAGCTCCACTCCTTCTCTCAGAAACCTTGGAAATCCTACTCATGCCTGACATTCTTGTTTCTCTCGGCACTGTATGTCTTTTATCTTCATCTTCCTCCCTGCTCAGGGGAAAACAATGTCATGGCAAACGTTAATGTCCCCACCCCCTAAAAATATGTCTATTGTTTGAGATATGCTTCTGAGGGCAGAGAAGAAACAATATCCAGAAACTCCATCCCAAGGGTCTTTTCTCTTAGAAGACCAGTCAGGGTAAGGCAACACCCAATTGCCCTAGCAAGTCTCAAATTGGCCTGATCTTACCCAACACCTACTGACCATGCATCCAATGGTGGACCATGAAGTATTTTCATTGCCTCTGCAAGACTCAGTTAACTAGTAATAACTGTCATTATTAAAATCCCACTATATTCTAGGGCATTTGCAGGAGTGTATTAGTCAGGGTTCTCCAGAGAGACAGAACCAATAGCATATAGATAGATAAACAGATAGATCAGAAGGAATGTGTTAGGGGAATGGTCTCACTCAATTATGGAGGCTGAGAAGTCCCATGACGGGCCATCTGCAAGCTGGAGACCTTGGGATGCCAGTAGTATGGTTCAGTTTCAGTCTGAAGGCTTAGAACCCAGGTGTAACTCTCAGTCCAAGGCCAAAGGCCTGAGACCCAGGAAGTAGGGGGTGGGGGTGGGGGCGAGAGGGGTGCTGGTATCAGTTCTAGAGTCCAAAGGCTGGAGATCCTGGAGTTCTGTTATCCAAGGCAGGAGACAAGTGTTTTCCAGCTCCAGGAGATAGATAGACATATTCACCTTTCCTCTGTTTTTGTTCTCTCTGGGCCCCCTGCTGATTGGAAGGCATCCACCACATTGTGGGCAGATCTTCCCCACCTAGTCCAGTCAGACGCATATGCTAATCTCCTTTGGAAATACTCTCCCAGACCCACCCAAAAGTAATGCTTTACCCAGTTGTTAGGTACTTCTTAATCCAGTCAAGTTGATGTCGAAAATTAACCATCACAAGTCCAGTCATGCCCAGCATAATGACATTTTGGTCAAGGATGAACTGCATATATAATGGTGGCCCCATAAGACTATAATGGAGCATAAAGAGAAACCTGATATGTGACACTTGATATTGGCATTGGGATCAAGTAAGGGAAATGATTGATATTCAGTAATGGTGCTGCTCTCATTCACCTTCCAGCAGGTGGGAGTGCTGCCAGTCCCCCTGATTGACAGAGTTCAAATCCTGTCCTGAGTCCTGGTCAGTAGTGATTGAAGCCCTCTCCAGGAGTTCCAGTTCTGCTCAGCTCTTTTTTTCTTCTTCTATGGACCCCTAGTCTTCAAAGAAGAATCTTTGATATTCCCCTCAAACTTGTTCTTTATCCAGAGCTCTATCATTTAAGATGATTTTGGCTTCAATGACAGAATATTTCATCAATAGTGGTGTGAACAATAGGAGTCTCACATTATAGAAGCCAAGGGAGGAGAAGTCATCAAGATGGGTGACTAGAGACACCTGGTACTCACCTCCTTCACAAAGAAGGAAGTAGAGTAAGTAGATAAGCAAAACAGTGAGTAGATAACCACACATCAAATAGAGCATCTAAGAGAGGACACTGGAATTCATCAGGGAAGTGACAGGGACCCTCTGAGGCATGAGGGGAGAGGGAAGGAAAGCGGCTGGCTGAGATTGGCTCAGAGCCAGGAGGGCCTCCCCACAATGGAGGAAAGGTAAGTGAGAGATCCAGCAGTCCACACTCCCACCACAGACACCTGCAATCCTAGCCACAGGAGAGCCTCTTAGCCCTCACAAGTCCTGAGCCTGGTATAGGGAGTTGCCTGGGGTCCACATGATTGGATTGTTCTGGAGAGAGAATTTATGCTGGGTCTCACTCACCCTCCAAGACCCAAGCAACTGCAACATGGTGCCATTTTGAGGTCCCACCCCTACATCCTACCCTGTGGCTCAACAGCCCCTGCATTTCCACATCCCTGGGGTCCCACTGACACCCCACCATGTCCATTCGGGGGCTACAGTGTTGCAATGCCAGCTGGACTAAGCGATGCAACCAGAGCCCCAGCACTCTAGCCCACACAGTGCCCTACACCCTGGGGAAAAGCCAGTGCAGTGCACCAGAAAGGCTTCCCCCAGGACAAAGGGAGACAGAGCATGCAGTCCCCAGAACCTGGGAGGTGACTGCACAGGGCCACTGTCACTGACAGCAACATTGTCCCCTCCAGCGGCAACACAACCAAACACCCGCACGTGCTTTCAGGGGCCCTGAGAACTAGCTCGCCTGGGGCCAGAAGACAGAGCCACCCTGCCTACCAAAACCACTACCACCAGCATTTGTACACACCATCTAGGGGCCTGAGGATCAACTCACCCTGCCTGCTGCCTCCAGAGCCCGTACATACCATCCAGAGGCCTGAAGACAGGCTCACCCAGCCTGCCAACACTGAAGCTGGTGCATACTCTCTGGGAAACTGAAGATCAGTCCACCCCACCTGCTGATATTGGCACCCACACATGCTGTCCAGAGGCCTAAGGACAGGCCTACCCTACCTGCTGCCACTGCCAGCACCTGCACACACCTCCTGGAGGTCCAGGGACCAGCTTCCTGACTTGCTACTATTGCTCGCACCCACAAAAGCATGCCACCTGGGGGCCTGGGTACCAGCGTGCCCAGCCCACCACTGCCACCATAGGCACCCACATGTCCTACATGGGGGCCCAAGGGCTGCCCACTGCTGCTACTGCCACCACCATCACCACAAGCACCACCTAGGGGCCTGAGGACTGGCCTACCTGGCCCACTGCTGCCACTGCTAGCACCCACACATACCACCTGTAGACCAAAGGACCAGCATACTCAGACTCCACCACCACCAATGCTGAAATATGCATATGCCACTCAGGGACCTGAGGACTGGCACACTCATCCCACTGCCACCACCACCAGTGCACACACACACCACCCATAGGCCCAAAGACTAACTCACCTGACTTCCCCACCAGCAACAATTCCTTGCCATAGCCTCCACTAACAACCACAGCCTAAGCCACTGAGGAATTCATGGACACCACTGGAGCTCATTATAGCTGAAGAAATCATATGGAGACTACACTACTGCACCCACTGAGAATCAAAACCAAAGCATCTTATCCAAACAACTCTATAGGTACATCTATAGGAAAAAGTCTTTCTCTATGAAAGCCAATCCATAAAATTTGAAGAAGTGACTGTTACACCAGATGTGCAGATATCAACATGAAGACACAAGAAATATGAAAAAGCAAGGAGGAAACACGGCGCCTCCAAAGAAACACAATAATTCTCCAATAGCAGATCCTAAAGAAAAGAAAATCTGTGAAATGCCCAAAAAGGAATTCAAAATAATGATCTTAAGGGAACTCAGTGAGATACAAGAGAGCACAGATAGATAATACAATGAAATCAGAAAAACAATTTATGTTCTGAATGTGAAATTCAACAAAGAGATAAATATCATAAAAAAGAACCAAAAAGAAATCCTGGAACTGAAGCATGCAATGAATGGAAATAAAAAATATGATTAAGAGCTTCAAAAATAAACAAGACTAAGCAGAAAAAAGAATTTCTGAACTTGAAGACAGGTCTTTTGAAATAACCCAGGCAAAAAAGAGAAAAAGAAAAGAAAAGAAAAAATAAAAAGAATAAAAAAGAATGAGGAAAGCCTACATGAAGTAAACACATACTCAAATTTTGGGAGTTCCAGAAGGAGAAGAAAAGGGGAAAGGCATAAAAAACCTATTTAATAAAATAATAGCTGAAAAATGCCCAAGTCTTGTGAGAGATGTAGACATCCAGATAGGGGAAGCTCAAAAATTTGCAAATAGATTCAACCCAAAAAGATCTTCTTCAAGGCACATTCTGAAATCAGCAAGATAAAAGCATTAAGTCACATATAAGGGAATTTCCATCAGACTAACAGCAGATTTCTCAGCAGGAACCTTACAGGCCAGGAGAGAAGGGGATAATATATTCAAAGTGCTGAAAGGCAAAAAACAAAACAAAACAAACAAAAACTGTTGGCCAAGAATACTATACCCAGCAAAACTATCCTTCAGAAATGAAGAAATAAAGTCATTCCCAGACAAGCAAAAACTAAGGGAATTCATCACCACAAGACCAGCCCTGTAAGAAATGCTTAAGGGAGTCTTACATCTGGAAGCAAAAGGACAATATCTACTATCATGAAAACACATGAAAATGTAAAACTCACTGGTAGAGCAAATAAGATGACAAATGAGAAAGAGAAAGGAATCAAATATTATCACTACAGAAATCAACCAAACCATAAAGAGTAAGACCCAGTCTCAATAAAAGAGGAAGAAAGAAGCAAAGGATATACAAAATAATCAGAAAAAAATTAACCAATTGACAGGAATAAGTCCTCATCTATCAATAACAACTCTGAATGTAAAATGTTTAAATTCCCCAGTTAAAAGATAAAGACTGGCTGAATGGATTAAAAAAAAAAAAGACCAACTATATGCTGCCCACCAGAAACTAACTTCACCTGTAA